ATCAATAAATAAAACATTAAAATTTTATTTTATTTTAGCTAATTGTTTCTCTAGATATGCATTATTTATGTTACAAGTGCACTTATATGTTATAAAAATTTTTATTTTTCTGTTTATTTTAACATTCTTTAAAATATTGCTTTTAATTTTCTTTGAAAATGCGGATATTGTTGTGGTAAATAACTAATAAGAAAAAAAAGTATCTTACAGAAAGATATTTAACTTTGCGTTGTCTTCACCGAAACTTTTTCACGATTTCCATTTAAATTCTTGTCTCTTACCGCACTATTTAGTGTTAAACAAGAGTACTTTAAATTTCTGAGACAAGATGTTATACACATTCGATGTAAATGAAGGCTTAGCCTCTATATGGAGATTTTTGTATACATGGCCGGAATTCGATGTCCGGAAACTTGTAAGAATTTTGAAATTTAGTTTAACGAACTATCGTTTTATTGACATTCATCATTGTTTTTTTTTTTTTTTTAACATGCGATACCGCAGTGTCTCCGTAGCGAACATAAATTGAGATCGTTTCCCTGTACTTTTTCCTTGAACTCGTTGCAATAGTCTGTGAAACCTCCAAATAGACGATGGATGCATACATAACACCAATACTATATACTATATACTATAGCCGCATCGTAAAATCGGTTTGACGTGCTTTCCCCCTTGAAATTTTCAGCACTCTGTACCAATCTTATCTAATAAAAAAAAGATAGTACGCAGTTTCTTTAAAAATGCCGACGATACTCTACACCACTGTTTGTGCAGTTTCATATAGAAAAACATTGCGAAGTATGCAATGTTTAGCATTTTCCTAATATCCTGTAGAAAATTATTATTTTAGATAAGAGAATTTCTTAAAATAATTGATAATTAAATGCAGTTGCTCTCCGCTAAAAAATTTTTCAAACGATGAACTGATAAACGTAACAAATAGTTTAGAAAAGAAAGAACCGTAGAATGAAATAGTACTTTGCAAACTTTATCGCGTATATACACCATAACAGAGAAAAAATATGGCAACTGTATTGTTGAAATATGCATTCATCGCATTACCTGACTGGATCCTGAAAACCTTAAAACTACAAAGGATCACGACTGGATTTATTATTAAAACAGTGCATGCACGTCATGGCCGACTTTAACAATAAATAACTACGAAAGATATTCGTATTTCATTTAATATTATTTCGTAATTCCGATTGTCTGCGCATTCTTTTAAAAATTCTTATAAGTATGGAAGAATCTATAAGAAAAAAAATTTATATCAAGATGTATATTTAAGATCGGTATTCTGTGATTTAAAATTATAATGAATAAAAAAAAAATGAATAGAAAATAATTTACAACGGTAATGAAAACGTCTTGGAAATATAAGTTGTACGTTATCTCATAATGGGTATCCAGAATTTCTGTTAAAACGGAAGACTTTTCTTAAGGTCACCCTGATTCTAAAGCCCACTTATCCAGATTTGCGATCAGCGACGTGTGTCGTAATCACATTAATCGCGACTTGATTATGGTAACTGGCGACCGTATCGGGTTACAGTCGAGTACACAGATCTACGTGGCGAGAACGCGTGCTTTCGATGATATCTTATCGGCTTTCCACGATCGGCTTTCCACGAGCTTCATCGCACGGCGAGGTTTCGACGCACCTCTCGAGGGCAGCCTTGACAGCGGTCGACGTTGACGAGGGGGAATTTGCGTCCCAACGCGCATTAAAGAAAAACGAAACGGACGAACGACCGAGCACGCGATCCGCGCGTCTCTACGGCGATAAATCATCCGTATTGCAGTTTTACAACGGCGGGACGGCAGGACGTGCCCGCGAGGAGGTTATCGCTGCGTGTCGCCCCCGATAAAGCGCCAGAAGCCTTCGGGAAAAGTCCTGCGAGAGGGCGACGTCGCGTGCGACGGAAATCCCTATACCGAAGAGAAAAGCAAGCGAATTTAGAAGCTCGCGATACGTTCGAATCGATCGGAAAAATCGAGCGAAATGCGGCACGAAACGCGCTGAAACCAT